TTTAAACAGTTTGAGGACCCCTGTGCTAGAGAAAGACAAAAAAACAAACTCACTGCCATTGATGCCAGTTCACAGTGACCCTATAGGACAGGGTAGAACTGCCCCAGTGGGTTTCAGAGACTCACTCTTTAAGGGGGTTAAAAATAAATCTCTTTCCTGCTTTCAAACTGCTAACCTCGAGGTTAGTTAGCAGCACAAGGCTTAACCACCACGTCACTAGGGATTTCCATATAGCGTCCCGGTGGCCCCAGCTTTAGAACCACCTTGCTGAAAATTCCAGTGAGTGACAGTAGGGGTCAGCATTGGCCCCATCCTGCAGACAACCAATTCCCCTGGGGACAGCACTGCCCGTATAGTTCAACCCACCGAACCCGCACTCACCGAAGTAGAAAGCCTTGGTTTCGAGCTGCTGACCTTCAACCCCCAAACCCTGCAAGTTCTGCAATTGCCCACTTCCATGAGGACAGCCAAGTTCAGTCCGGTCCTGGAAACAGCCTCTAGGGGACAGCAGTGACCACGTGAAGACAACCAAGTCCCTAGATGTTTCCGAATCAGGCTCTCAGGCTCTCCGGAGGCAGCATAGCCCACGTGGGATCAACTACTAAAAGATAGGCTAGAACTGCCCGTGTGGGTTTCCAGGACTAACTCTTGATGGGAACAGAAAGCCTCGTCTATCGCCCGTGGAGCTTGCTGGTGGATTCGAACTAACACAGAACCGCTACACTATCAAAACCAAACATAAACTGACACTGTCCAGGCGTTGACCACTCACAGCGATCCATCAGGTCAGAGGAGAACTTCGCCGGAGGGTTTCCAAGGCTGTCACTCTGGACACCCTTTCTGAAAAGCAGCTCCCTTTCCCCAAGTTCCCAAGCTCGGCTCCAGGAGGTTAGCACCGCCCACTTACAAAATAGAAATATTTCTCCCCCTCGTAGGATATGGAGATGATGGCGCTGCCACACCCTTCTGCACCTCACTTCTTTTCCCACCCGATATTGTAGAAATCTCTCCCATCCCTAAAAGCCACTGTGCCCCCTTGTGTGATTTCAAGTCGGTTCCGACTCATAGCGCCCCTAAAGTTTAGGCCCTAACTTTGGACACGCTTTCCGTCCTAAGTTGAGGACAAAGGAGACCGGTCCCGCGCGTTTTCCTGGGCTGTCAGCTTTACAGGAGGAGCCCTGGTGGCCCAGTGGCTGGTTATATACATTGGGCTGCTAACCACAAGGTCAGCAGTTCGAAGCGACCTGTCACTCCCTGAGAGAAAGACGAGGCTTTCTACACCCATTAAGCGTACAGCCTCGGAACCCCCCAGGGGCAGTTCTACCCTGTCGTGTAGGGCTGGGCGAGGGACCAGAATCCCTTGATCTGCTTGCGTCTCACGTGGCCAGTGCTGTGTGCTTCGGGCCGGTGGGCTCACTTGGTTTAGTGTCTGTTAAACCACTTGGTTAGGGAACTGGTGGAGGTCGCTGATCGGAAATCCGGTTTGTGCTTTCTTTTGTTTGCGTGGATTGTTTTTCTAGGATTGGAGCCCCGGTGGCGTAGTGGGTGTAGCGGTCCCTCGGGATGGAGCGCATGTTGTGGGCATGCGCTGAGGGGTAAAAATAGGTTGTGGGCGTGTCCTGGGGCGGAGCATATGTTGTGGGTGGGGCTTGGCCAAAGCATGCACATTGTGGCCATGTCCTGGAAGGGGGCGCGGGGTCCCCTGGGCCTTTCCCAGGGGATGGAACATATATTGAAAGCTTGTTGGGGTGGGGACTGGAGCTGGGTGTTTGTGGGCGTGTCCTTGGGGCGGAGCGCATCTTATAGGTGGCTGTATGTTGTGGGTGTATCCTGGGTAGAACACACAGTGGGCATCTTTTGGGTGGGAAACCAACGCATGTGCAGTGGGTGCATCATGGGGGCAGAGCGTGTGTTCTAGGCGTGTTGGGGGGCAGGGCTCAGAATAGCAGCGTGTGAGGGCGAGGGGCTGGGTTGTGGGCGTGTCCTGGGACAGAGCGCATTTAGTGGGGGTGGGTGTAGGGGGGATGTATAGTATCAAAGTATGCTCCTTGTGGCCACATCCTGGAGGGCGAGGTGTATATTGTGGGTGTTTCTTACCCTGGGCAGTGGGCATGGAATTGAGGTGGGTGTTTGTAGGCGTGTCCTTGGGGCGGAGCATATATTACAGGTGGGTGTATCCTGGGTAGGGCATACTGTGGGCATCTTTGGGGGGAAGGGATCAAAGCAGGTGCGTGGGCGGGGCTTGTGTTGTGGGCGTGTCCAGGGTGGGACTCCGCATAGAAGGGTCTGAGGGTGAGGCCTGGGTTTCCAGCCCCCTCCAAAGGCCAGACTGGCTTCCGCAAGACAGTAACATGTAGGATCGTTTCACTGTCCTAAGAAGGGCCGGGATGCCTTGCTCCTCCCGCCGCCCAGGTCACCCTCTCTTTGCGCCCCCCCTCCCCCCCAGCCATGCTGCGGATGGTCTCAGCCGTTCTCCAGTTTGGCAACGTCGTCCTGAAGAAGGAACGTAACACCGATCAAGCCACCATGCCTGACAACACAGGTAGGTACTGCCGCTGCCCCTGCCCTCCCCGGGCCATCCCCTTCCCCCTGCTCCCTACAGACTGCCTCCACCCCACCCCAGGTCCACGTGGGGCCCGCACTGTGCCCTGTCTCAGCGAGGTAACACCTGGCAACCTTCTCTTTGCAGACATGCCAACACGGGTTCGTTTTGAGCTTGCCCTTTTCTAGTTCCACAGGACCAGGTGCTCCCCGGGAGAGATGGGAGGCTGTCTGCTCCCGGGAAGAGTGACAGTCTCAGAAACCCACAGGGGCAGTTCTGCTCTGGCCTGTAGGGTCCCCATGAGTCAGGGTGTTAGTCCAGGTGGACTAGAGAAACAAATCCAGAGACACTCATATGTGTAAGAGAGGACTTTATATCAAGAAGTAATTATGCATCAGTAAAATATCCCTGCCCCATTCAGATCAAGTCCATAAGTTCGATATTAGCCTCTAAGTCCCATATTAGCACACGAATCCCTCTTCAGACTCACGCAGCACATGCAATGATGCCGAATGCAGGAAGACTGCAGGCCGGTGGGTGGAAAATTCTATGGGTCCAGTGGCGGTGAAAACATCACCAGGGCTCTGGCCGCCATCGGTGTGGCTGCACATGGCCTGTCAACAGGAAAGTGAAGCCGAGGAGAGTGTGCCCCACCTCCAGGGAGGAAGACAGGAGTTCCCAGAATCCTCATGAGAAGGCCAGGCCCCCACAGAGGCCTCATTGGCTATGGCCTGATTGACAGGCTGGACTCCACCCCTTCCCTCAAGTTGACAGGAGATGATGTCACCGCAATGAACTGAGTTCCATTCACTTGACTCTTCCGGGTCTTAGCAAGCATGAGCGCTGCTAAATTTTTGGATGACGCCAGTGTGACCAGCCAGCAACAGAAGGCCCCACCCCCCAGCACTCCAGGCCTCCCGAGATAACGTTTCCAGCAGTGCAGTGATGGGGTGCAGTGGTAGAATTCTTACCTTCCCTGCCGGAGACCCTGGTTCGACTCCCGGCCACTGCACCTCGTGGGCAGCCACCACCCATCTGCCAGTAGAGGTGTGAGTGTTGCCGTGGTGCTGAACAGGTGTGAGCAGAATTCCCTAGACTCAGATAGACTAGGAAGCAAGGCCTGGTGGTCTGTTTCCACAAAGCAGCCAGTGGACAGCTCATGGACCAGAGCAGCCCGATCCACAGCCCATCTGGGGGTTGGCTCAGGAATAGACAGCCACTTGTTCTGTTGTGCGTGGGGTCACCGTGCGCTGTGGGAGATGGGTGGCTGGGCCCCAGCTAATCACAGGACAGTTCTGCCCCCCAGATGAAGGCACCGGGTCCAGATCTAGTTACAGCGAAACAACCCTGTGAACATTCAGTCCGATTCCCGCGCTGTGACCCCGTAGAACTGCCCCCAAACGCTTCCAAAGCTGTTACCTTGACTGAAGCAGAGGGTCGCCGCCTTTCTCCCTTGTGGCAAGCAGGTGGTTCGTGACCACGTAATTACCCCACGGTGCCACCAGGGGTCCCGAGAGGTCTAGCTGCTGTTTGGCTACTAGGTGCCCGTGCAGCCTGCTTCCAGACTCTTACTGACTCACATGCTAAAGAAGGAAACGCCGCCCAGTCCTGCGCCGTCCTCACACAGTTCCCAAGTTCGAGCCCATGGCGGCAGCCACTGCGTCCATCCATCCATGTCCCTGAGGGCCTTCCTCTTGTTCACCGCCCCTCCCCCTTACCAAGCACGATGTCCTTCTCCGGGGACCGCTCTCTCCTGATTCCTGTCCAAAGCGTGTGAGATGAAGTGTTGCCACCCCTTGCCTCCAAGGAGCATGCTGGCCATGCTCTGGTTCCAAAAAACAAAACCCCCCAAAAACCAAGCTCACAGCCACCTGCTCAATTCTGACTCATGGCGACCCTTTACAGGCTAGAACTGCCTGTAAAGAAAAAATTGGGACTTCCTTCTCCGAGTCCCAGGGTACCCACCGGAGGGATAATTCTCCCTAGCATCGGCTTTGTGCTGTGATGCTGCCGTTAGCACGTTGATAGGAGAGATTGCTTGCTCCGGGAAAGATTTCCAGCCTCGGAAACCCACAAAGGGCCCGGGGTGGGGGTGGGGGTGGGGGTGGGAGGAAGGCAGAGCCAGCGCCCTAAGAGGGTACCTGTGGGCCGGCACGGACTCGGCAGACGGCAGTGGGTTTGGCCGGGGTCAGCACCCTTTCTGCCGCCAGCACCACCCGCCACGTCCCGTCTTGCTGCCTCTCTCCCTCAGCCGCACAGAAACTCTGCCGCCTTCTGGGACTGGGGGTGACCGACTTCTCCCGTGCCCTGCTCACCCCTCGCATCAAGGTCGGCCGGGACTACGTGCAGAAGGCCCAGTCCAAGGAGCAGGTGAGGACGGGCCCCAGGATCCCGGGACTGCCAGTTGCTGCTGCTGCGGCAGGAACAGGGAATACCACCAGGGAGAGCCTTTCCCCGACAGAAATGGGTTCTCTCACCGTTTAGGGGGCCACAAGTCCAAATTTGGGGCACGGGTTTTAGGAGGAAAGGGTCTTGTTTGGCTTCTTGGGTCCTTAGAGGAGAGCTGCCCCGTGGGGTTTCCACGGCTGTCATCTCTGTGGGAGCAGATGGCGGGGTCTCTTCTCCCGCGAGCAGATGGGTGCGTTCGAACTGCTGCCCTCTGGGTGAACAGCCAAGAGCTTACCCCTCAGATCAATCAGCCTTATGGTTTCAGGAATGGTGCGGGGTGGCCTGCCGCAACCCCTCAGTCTTGATGCACTGGGAGGCTAGGAGATGCCCTGCAAGCCACACCCACTGCCCCGCCCACTGCTCATGTCCCTCCCACTCCTTTACTTGCCCTCCCGCCCCATGCCCCGCCCACTGTGCTCGGCTCCGCCCCTCCTAGCCCCGCCCTCTCATGCTGCCCGCCCACACCATGCCCCGCCTACTTTATTCTGCCCCGCCCCTCCTCCTAACTCCGCCCTCTCCTGCTGCCCCGCCCACAGGCCGACTTTGCACTAGAGGCGCTGGCCAAGGCCACCTACGAACGCCTCTTCCGCTGGCTGGTGCTTCGCCTCAACCGTGCCCTGGACCGCAGCCCCCGCCAGGGCGCCTCCTTTCTCGGCATCCTGGACATAGCTGGCTTCGAGATCTTCCAGGTCCGGGTCTGCCTCCCGCTGGGGCGGGGCTCCCCAACTCCAGACAGCATGCCTACCCCCCCCCTCACTCCCAGGCGCCCCTCTGTGAGCTTCTGCCCATGACTCCGCCTGGGATCTGGCCCCTTTTCTGGATGTCTGTTACCCCTGTCTCTGCCCCCGTCTTGGGGTCCAGGGTCTCTGCTAACCCCTGCAGCTCTCTCTCCTTTCTCCCTGGGTCTCTGTCTCCTATCTCTGGGTCTCTGCCCACCTCTGTCTCTGACCCCCATCTCTGGGGGTCTGCTCCCTCTGTCTTTGGGTCTCTGCCGCTCTCTCTCTCTCTGGGTCTCTGCCTCCCCCTCTCTGGGTCTCTCCCCCTCTCTCTGGGTCTCAGCCCCTCCCGTGCCCCTGTGCCTGCCCCTGCAGCTGAACTCCTTCGAGCAACTGTGCATCAACTACACCAATGAGAAGTTGCAGCAGCTCTTCAACCACACCATGTTCGTGCTGGAGCAGGAGGAGTACCAGCGCGAGGGCATCCCCTGGACCTTCCTGGACTTCGGCCTCGACCTGCAGCCCTGCATCGACCTCATCGAGCGGCCGGTGAGCCCACCCAGCCCTCCTCCAACCCATCCTGCCTCCACCAGGCTCCCTGCAGGCCCGGCATCATTCCTGACCCCCTTGGACCTGAGGTGTCCTGCGAGCCCTTAATGGTCCCAAAACGAAACTCACTGCCATGGGGTTGATTCTGACTCACAGTGACCTGATAGGCCAGGGTAGCCCTGCCCCTGTAGGTTTCCACGGCTGACTCATCTTTCTCCTGACGAGCAACTGGTGGATTCAAACCACCGACCTCGAGGTTGGCAGCCCAGCATCTAACCCACCCTGAAAGTGCCTGGCTGAGCGGAAAGGGTGGATATCAGGTTGTTGGTTTTTGTGGCTATTGTGCATCTTTGAGTGGATTCTTACAACAACCCTAGGGTGGTCCCCTGGAGTGTCACACTAGGTTATAAGTCAGTGGGGGAGCAGATTGCCAGACCTTTCTCCCTCCGAGCAGCTGGTGGGTCAAGCCATACCTCCTGGGGAGCAGCCCATCTGTGGGTGCCCCTGGCTGCTCCTCACCGGCCCTGAGTTGCAGGTCTCACACTTAAGCTTTATTCACGAGAGTGACGCAGAAAAGGCATCTCGGCACAGAGGCTCAGCCCTGGCCACTAACCGAGGGGGTGGCGGTTCAAAACCAAGTAGAGGCCCCAAGGGAGGAAGGGCCTTGGAAAGATGGCTGCCTGGGGGACCCCCCTGGGGCCATTCTGCTCTGTCACATGGGGTCGATATGGGTGGGGGCGTGGAAATTCTGGTGGCATCATGGTGAAGTGTTTGGCTGCCCTCCCCAAAGATCAGTGGTTCAAACCCACCAGCCACTCAGCAGATGAAAGACAGACTGTCCGCTCCTGCAAAGATGACAGCCAACCCGTCTTGGAAAGGCTCCGGGGCATCGAACTCTGAGACCCCCCAACACCCAACAACATTAGCAGTCTCCTAAGGGTCTGGTGTGGGGGCCTGTGGCTTACGTTCCCCTTCCTGCCCCTGGTCAGGCCAACCCCCCTGGACTCCTGGCCTTGCTGGATGAGGAGTGCTGGTTCCCCAAGGCCACCGACAAGTCCTTTGTGGAGAAGGTAGCCCAGGAGCAGGGCGGCCACCCCAAGTTCCAGCGGCCGCGGCAACTGCGGGACCACGCAGACTTCAGCGTCCTGCACTATGCTGGCAAGGTGAGGGACCAAGGCCAGTCCCGGGGCACATGGGCAGGAGAAGGGAGGGCACAGAGGTAAATCAAGGCGGCCGGGTTCAGAGAGTGGCCAAAGCAGGGGCCAGGAGATCCCAAGACAGAGCAAGGACTCTGGTGGATAAAGTCAGCACATGGTTCCGCAAAGAGAGGTTATTTGGTGTGGGTTTTGAGGGGTGTGTAGGAGTTCCCCGCGTTGCCTTTTATTTTATTTCCTCATTTGGCAAGGCCTCCTTGTGTGGCCAGCTCTGTGCTGAGCAAACACTTCTGCTGTGGGTTCTGTCCTCACAAAGGTCTCTCATCTGGGAGAGAGACAAATGGCTGTCAGGGGGTAGGTGCTTTAGCAGGAGTCAGCTAAGGGCAGTGCCAGAGCCTAAGGAAGAAACGCCAGGGAAGGTTCCCCAGGGAGAGTAAGCTAGCGGGTAGTTAGTTACCTGTTTCTTTTCTTTCTTTTTTTAACGAATGAATCATTTTACTTGGGGGGGGGGGCTCTTACAGCTCTTAAAACAATCCACACATCAATGGTATCAAACACATTTGTACACACGTTCCCATCCTCATGTTCAGTTGCCTATTTCTAGAAAGGGCCCAGTAGTACATTTCTTGTTTGACTCTGTGGGCCGGATGGAGGGCCTCTCATCCTGGGCCAGCTTGTGCAGCGGTCAAACCTGGTTTGCAAGCAGCAGCAGGCTGGATTTGGCTCACAATCCAGTGTGTGATCCCGGTAGCCAGGGTCGGAAGGGCAGCCCGGGCACAGGGAACAGCATATGCGGAGACCAGGAGGCCAGGGTCCTCCTGGTTTCTGTGCTGGGCAGTCAGTTCATTCGCCAGGTAGGTTCTACGAACTTCTGCTGTGCCCCACTGTGCCCTGCCCTTAGGGGGCAACCCGGGTCTGGTGGGAAAGCTTGTCTAGAGGATGAGGGCGGAGAAGACAATGAATCTGTGGTAGGTGCAGGAATAAGAACGCCGAGGAGGAGGAATGAGCTTGCATGTTGGACAGAGGAGGAGGCTGGAAAGTGGAAGCAGATTGAGGAGCAGTGTTGGCAGAGGGCGCAGTTCAGGATGCGGACACAAGGTGGAGCCAACGCCCCCTTATAGGACAGCAGAGCTGTGAGCCGGGACTGGCTCCCCACCTCCTCCTCTTCCCAACTCCGTGCAGGTGGACTATAAGGCCAACGAGTGGCTGATGAAAAACATGGACCCGCTGAATGACAGCGTAGCAGCCCTGCTTCACCAAAGCACAGACCGGCTGACGGCAGAGATCTGGAAGGATGGTGAGGACCAGCGTCCCCGGGACCTGCCCCTGGAGGTCTATCCACCCACAGTGCGAGCGGGAATCCCTGGTTTCAAGAGGTTGAATTCTGAACCCGAGTTTTCTGCTGAGATCCAAAATTGAGGGGGGAAATATTTATTAATTCGAGTTTCCGACGAGCTCTCTCAAGCTCCTTGGTCTCTCTCGGTATTCTCAAGCCGGCTTTATACTCTCATCCAATGTTCCCTGTTCATCAGTTCTAGGCTGTCTGTCCTGTAGGATCTCCCAGGTGAGTTGGAATCGATTCCATGACAGCGATTTTGATTTTGGTTTTCATTAATCAGAAACGAGACAAAGACGCCCACCGCCCACCGTCAACCCTGCTGTGAAAACACTGGGCCCACCCCCCCTAAAAAATAGTAACATTAAAAATTTTAAAAAGAAGTAAACACTGGACCATGCAATCAGACAAGAAAAAGAAATCCCAAACACCTGACTCACTGTCACCCTCACAGGGCAGGGTAGAACCACCCCTGGGAGTCCGAGACGTGTGACTATTATACAGGGAAGGGCAAGCTTGTCCTGAATCTGTAGACGGCACGTGACCTAAAAAAGTTGAGGCCCAGCTGAAAAACCATTCATCACAAGTGTTCGGAAAGGTAGCCTTGTACAGGGAGTTGTTGGATGTCTTTTTTGCCATGGTTGTTAGAATGTGTTTTATTGATTCTGCTTTTTTTAAAGTTATTTTTAATCATTTAATGGAGGGCTCGTACAGCTCTTATCACCATCAATCCATCCATCCATCCATCCATCCATCCATCCATCCATCCATCCATCCATCCATTGTGTCAAGCACATTTTGTACCTAGGTTTCCATCATCCTTTTCAAAACATTTGCTTTCTACTTGAGCCCCTGGGATAGGCTCCTCGGTTTTTTTTAAAGCACAGCAGGCCCCTGTCTTCAGGTGTCTTCCTGCCTGTTATGGTGACTGCCTATTGTTTGCTTCATTTTTCATTTACCTTTTGTCTTGATTTTACCTGCCTGCCTCCTGGCAGTAACTTCTGACGGGACATTTCATCCACCCAGCCCCAACGTGATGCCAGGCAGTGAGTGGATCAAAAGGTGAACCAGGCAGGGTCCCCGGCTTGAAAAGCCCAAAGCACAGAACACGTGAGGAAGGTCGCTGCAGTCTGGGCAGACGTCACAAAATGGGCCTCTGCTCCCGACCACACTTTGGAACGAAGGCCTGATAACCTCTTACTGAACTGAACCCAACCCAACCCAACCCCTTCCAGCCCGAGTCAGGATTCTGCTCAGCGCCCCCCAACCCAACCGTGCTGTTGACTAATAACCTTTTCTTCTCCTTTTCTTCCTGCCACTGCCCCTCTCCCCCATATTCTCCCCCCTCATGCTGCCCCTCCATCCACATTGCTACCCCGGCCTCCCTCATGTCTCTCTCACCTCCCTCCCGATCAGGCGGCACCCCAGGCCCTGGAGGCTTCCAGCAGTTCTCTCTCCTGGCCGCCTTCCAACCTCCGCAGCCGTTCCCTGGATCCGCCGCAGAGAGGCATGGCCCTGCCACTTCCCCTTCTGGGGGTGGGTGTCTCTTGGGCATTGGCAAGGTCGAATAATTAATGAACTTTCAGGTGAAAGTAGGAACAGCCGTGTCCTCACGGGGTTAAGCACTCGGCTGCTCCCGGAAAGGTCGGTGGTTCGAACCCACCAACTGCTCCTCTGGAAACCAGGGAGGCTGGCTGTTCCAATAACAGCCTCAGAAACGCTCTAGGGTCCCAGAGGGTCGCCGGTGAGGCAGGACTGACTGCACCAGAGGTTTGGGCTTCTGCTCACTGTGAAAACCACGCCATGTTGTCATTAAGGCCAGAGTCCTCTGAATGGCCCTGCCAGGTGCAGATAATGGTGCCACAGAAGAGCTGGGAGGGGCAGCACACAATGGGCCTCCCTGGTGTTTGTTCCATACCCACAAACGTTCTGCCTTACCACTTTTCTAGTGCTCCGTTTCCTGGAAATATTTGAACTCCACCCTCATCAATCTCCACCTGACTCAGGTTCTGGCTTTCACACGTCTGGCTGTGTGAGTCCCCATTTCTACCGAAGAGGCAGATGAGGCACAGAGAGGTCAAGTTACTTGCCCTAGGTCACACAGCTGATGCGTGTAAGGATTTGAGCCCAGAACGTTGGGATCCCAGAGTCCCAGCTCTGACTGGTGCAATCAGAACCTAACAAGGGGTGGCTATCATGTAGATAGGAACCCTGGTGACATCCTGGTTATGCGTTGGGCAGTTGAACTACAAGGTCTGCAGTCTGACTGACCACCCACCCCGTGCCGTCTGACATTCCTGCGCCTCGGCCACCTGCACCTGGCCGTGGCGATCACGGAGTTGTGATGTGATAGGGACGAAGGCCGACCGTGGTAGTGAAGGGGGTGTGCCAACTTGCCTGGGTCATGGTTCTCGGCGGCGGGGGCAGTTCTGTCGTGGTGTGATTTGGCGGCTCTGCAATGATGTTAATACTTTGGCCGTTCTGTAGTGATGTCACTTGGCAGTTGTGATCGCAGGTGGTTACCGCCCCATTTTCTGCATGATGCCCATTCTCACACAGTGCTCTATTAGTGGGAACCTAAACCATGTCGCTAAGTCAGGAGTGGATACGATATATGAGGGGGGCTTTGGAAAGTCCGTGGAGCAATTTCATGACTTTTCGGTTCTATTTTTCCACGCTCTGTCTGAAGTCCCCTCGTATAAAGTGCCAGATCCTAGGCACGGCCAAACCCACGATGTTCGGTCAACTCAGCAACCCCAAAATGACCCCCAACTCTCCTGTCTCTCTCTTTCCATCCGCACCCCCCACAGTGGAGGGCATTGTGGGGCTCGAACAGGTGAGCAGCCTCGGGGACGGCCCGCCTGGTGGCCGCCCGCGCCGTGGGATGTTCCGGACGGTGGGACAGCTCTACAAGGAGTCCCTGAGCCGCCTCATGGCCACGCTCAGCAACACCAACCCCAGCTTCGTCCGCTGCATCGTCCCCAACCACGAGAAGCGGGTGAGTGACCCGACCCACCAGCGTGGGAGGGCGTGTCCCTGGCAATGAGTACAGTGCGGTTTCCTGATTGGCCCAAGCCACTTCCGGCACTCAGGCACTTCCTGGTTTGACGTCACCTCCGGTTCGCAGGTATGTCCCGATTTGACGTCACTTCCTGGTTTGACGCCACTTCCGGCTCTCAGCCATTTCCGGTTCAGACCATCCTTCAGCTGGTCCCAGCCCCAACCCCGCTCCCTTGGGAGAATTCCTGGATTCACTCGAGCAGTGTTTGTTCACCCGGTTACCTGCCCTGCGAGTCCTTTCAGCACTCGCCACACCCCCTCCCTGGCCGCTCTTTTTGGTTTAAGAATACAAACAAGAAAATCCTCGTGGGAACCCACCCACAGCCACAGGGCCCCACTATCGGGCCGAGTAGAACTGCGCCCTTGGGTGGCCCAGGCCGTCGGTCTTGTCCGGCGGGAGCGTTCCATCCGCTGGGCGTTCGGTTAGCGGCCGACTTTCTCAGCACTGTGTCTTGCTGGGTAGACAGATGCGGTCAAGGCCATTCGAGTAGCTCACCCCTCACGTTGGCCTGGGCTCTGTCTTTCGAGGGCAGGTCACCACGTCTCTCTCCCAGGGAGCCCCCTTGGTGGAATTGAACCACCAACCATCTGGTTCACAGCTGAGACCCTTTTTAAACTGTATTGCTCCGGTGGCTGAGTGGGTTGTGTGTTGGGTTGCTCATCGCAAGGTCAGCTGTTCAAGCCCACTAGCCCCTTTTGAGAGAGATGCGAGGCTCCCCTTTTCAGAACGAGTTACGGTCTCAGACACCCACAGGGACAGTTCCACCCCGTCCTATAGGGTCACCCTGAGTCGGAAGTGACTTGATGGCAGTAGATTTTTGCTCTTATCTGACTTGATGATGGTACAAAGGGCTTTCTTTTGCTCAGCGGCTACCTGAAAGGACAGCAGTTCACACCAGCCTAGCCGTCTGGGTCTGTAAAGATGACAGTCAGGAGCAGCCTGCTGATCAATTCTAGTCTGTTATATGGCGATGATTTGGGGCCTGGGTTGTCCCCCCCCCCCCCCAACGTCTGGAATCCTTGGCTGCTGCAGATAACATGCTCAGCTGGCTCACGGAAGAGTTGAAGGCTTAATTCTACCCAGAGGGCCCCAGAAGAAAGGCCTTGGAATCTGCTTCTGTTCAAAACCCCTGTCGTGGGAACTGGTCACAATGATCGACCTATAACCCCCTCCCAGGGGGAAGGACGACAGAAAAGTGGGTGAAGGGAGACATCGGTCAGTGTAAGACATGAACAAAATATATATAAATTATCAAGGGTTCGTGAGGAAGGGAGGGTGGGAGGGGGAGGGGGACAAATGAGCTGATACCAAGGGCTCAATTAGAAAGAAAATGGTTTGAAAATGATGATGGCAACAAATGTACAAATGTGCTGGACCCAATGGATGGATGGATGGATTGTGATAAGAGTTGCATGAGCCCCAATAAAATGATTTTTTTTAAAAGAAGAAAAATAATGTACAAAAACCCCAAACACAGCTGTCTCCCCCGTACCCAGCACATAGTAGGTACTTGACACAGCAGCTAGCCAGAAGCTCACTGCCATCGAGTCGATTCCGACTCCTGGTGACCCTATAAGATGGAGCAGAACTGCCCCCAGTGGGTTTCCAAGGCTGTGAGTTTTTACAGGAGCAGACAGCTTGATCTTTCTCCCGAGGAGCGGCGGATGGTTTTGAACCACAAACCTTGCAGTTAAGCAGCATAAGGCACAACCCACCAGGCCGCAGGAAATCCCCAGCTGCTGGCTTTTTTGACCTGCATGAATAGCATCCTGGCTGTTCCCTCTGAAGGTTGTGGTTGAAGGTGGCGCCCCCTGTGTCTGCTGCTGATATTGCACATATCTGCCCTGCTCTCTGCAGGCTGGGAAGCTGGAGCCACGGCTGGTGCTGGATCAGCTCAGGTGTAACGGTGTCCTGGAGGGTATTCGCATCTGTCGGCAAGGCTTCCCCAACCGAATCCTCTTCCAGGAGTTCCGGCAGCGGTGAGTGGACCCGAGGGTGGGTGGAGAGGAGAGACTGGGATCTCAAATCCCACCAACTCATGTGATCTCGCTTCTCCCTTGCTATATGGTTTATGTTAGGCCGTGTTTTCTAGAGAAGCCAAACCAATACCGCTGAGATAGATGTAAGGAAATCCTGACTGTTATATCAAGAATGTGGCTCACACAGTAGTAGAAACAGATCAGTCCAATCCGGTCCAAGTCCATGGGTCAGAGGTTCAACTGGAGGTTCCTCCTGACTCACACAGCTGCCAGAGTTGACATACGTACATACCAGGAATCGGGGAGATGAACCCAGAAGCAGAAACAGCACAGGCTGTTGGAGGCGGAAGCAGATGAATGCACAAGTCAGCGAGCCTGGCTCTTGTGGCTGCAGAGTGGAATGATTCAATGTCAGCAGGCTGGGGATAGTTGAGCCAGAGGCAAGATCCAAACCAGCAAGAAGTAAAGAAGCCTTTCCGCTGAGTCTGCTTAAACAAGGAGTAGGCCACCCCCTCAAGGAACTGTATCCAGGCCACAACCTGATTGAGGGGCTAGCACACTAGCACACTAATCTTTCCACAACGGGTTGGCTGCTCACAGAAGATCTCATCTGTGTGGAGATCACCTTACATCACATCAGAATCCTGGCCCAGCCAAGTTGACACAAAACCCATCACATCGCATGTGGGCGTCCCAGGGCTCCTGTGACCTCACCCAAATGGGGTGGTTTAAAACCGCAGAGGTCTACTCTTAGCTTTTGGAGGTGGTCGCTGTGGTCATCAGTGTGGGGGACCGGCCTCCATACCGCATGAGTTCAAGAGACAGTTGTGTAATTGAGGGGTCAGTTACATCAGCCAAGGCATGCCAGGGCTCAGCCTCTTACATGGAACCTGGAACAGAAAGTAAGAGCTAATGTATGCTCCAACAGGCTTGTGTAATCTCGGGCATGCAAACCACGCCATACACATATGTAACAGGAGGGGAATGTGTTAAAGCAGCAGTTCTCAACCTGTGGGTCGCGACCCCCTTGGGGGTCGAAAGACCCTTTCACAGGGGTCGCCTAAGACCATCAGAAAACATAGGAACCGAGACACCGCTCCTCTATCCGTCTCCAGGTGGTCTGCCCACATGCAGATACGCCCACATAGGAGTCCCCAGTGTGAAGACTGTTACCCAGGCTACACCATGCATCAAGACACAATATCATTGATTTGTCATTAGAAATAAATATTTCACAATATACAATGGCATATTGTTTTTGTGATGAAGCACTGCTTTAATGACGTTCAGTTTTTAACAATGAAAATACATCCTGCTTATCAGATATTTACATTATGATTCATCACAGTAGCAAAATGACAGGGATGAAGTAGCAACGAAAATAATTTGATGGTTGGGGGTCACCACCACATGAGGGACTGTATGAAAGGGTCGAGGCATGAGGAAGGTTGAGAACCGCTGACCTAGAGAGATACACATAACAGGGGGAGGGGGGCGGGATGAGCTCGGGGTATATGCAATAGGAAGGGGAGGCACTAGGGGCACCCATGTGACAGGAAGGCACATACATAACCAGGTGGGCTGGCTCAAGAGTTCAGATGGCAGCCTAAACTTGGTCCTCTCTGAGCTGGCCTGACTTTAGTGCCCCTGAGCTCTGCCCCGGGGGAACACTCTGTGATCCTTATCTGAAGGGAGTGGGCCCTGCTGAGGGTGGGACAGACAGTAGGGTTTGATTGCTCTCAATGGCAGACACCCTTCGGGCACATCACCTTCAAACATGCTATCTTAGCGACCATGTGCTTGCAAGCAGCACCTTAAAATTGGCATTCTTATGGGGGGCTCATTGTAGGAAAAAATGTTTACGTAGGACAATATGACGGGCACACATCTCCAACTCACAAGTGTGCAGGCTGCCCTCCAGGAGGGTCTGCCTCCCAAACTCCTTCTCCATGTGAGCGGAGAGAATCTGTCCGCACGCACTCTCTTCCTGGCTCTCAGTTTCCCACCAATTAGGGGTTGTCTAGGCCCTCTGGGCTCATAGCAACCCTACGGACAGGGTGGAACTCCACCAGGGCTGTCAGTGATGTCATCGCGTTCGGAGCCACCAGCCGTGCTCGTGGAAACAGCAGTCTGGAAATCCATCAGCATGCTTGATTGGGCAAACCTCCTCCACAAGACGTCTCTAGCCTGGGGAACAGCCAAGATCTTGCCGGGGGGACTAGCGCATAGGTTGGACCCAGGCTGGGGTGTTTGTGTCCGCCTCCTGCGCACACGCACGTTGGATGTTGAACCACAACAGTGGAAGAAGCACCCGTGCCTTCGCATCCTGGCGTGGGCGAAGCAAACTTGCCAGGGACACTAACTCCCAGAGGAACCAAGAGTTCAGTCTCGGGAGAAGCACAGCCCAAACACTTCTGGGAAGCGAGGCTGGCAAGACTTGGGATGTGCTGTCAGGAGAGACAAC